CATTCGGCCTTTATTTATACAAGTTAATCCCGCTGATTCATTCATTCAGCCTTTATTTATACAAGTTAATCCCGCTGATTCATTCATTCAGCCTTTATTTGTACAGGTTAATCCATTCATCCATTTTCTTCCTCTTATCTGAGGTCGGGTCGTGGGGGGTAGCAGCCTAAGTAGGGAGGCCCAGACTTCCCTCTCCCCAGCCACTTGGGCCAGCTCTTCCGGGGGAATCCCGAGGCATTCCCAGGCCAGCTGAGAAACATAGTCCCTCCAGCGTGTCCTGGGTTTTCCCCTGGGTCTCCTCCCAGTGGGACATGTCCGGAACATCTCACCAGGGAGGCGTCCAGGAGGCATCCTAAACAGATGCCTGAGCCACCTCAACTGGCTCCTCTCGATGTGGAGAAGCAGCGGCTCTACTCTGAGTCTCTCTCGGATGATCGAGCTTCTCACCCTATCTCTAAGGGAGAGCCCAGACACCCTGCGGAGAAAACTCATTTTGGCCGCTTGTATCCGAGATCTCATTCTTTCGGTCACAACCCAAAGCTCGTGACCATAGATGAGGGTAGGAACGTAGATCGATCTGTAAATTGAGAGCTTCGCCTTTTGACTCAGCTCTCTCTTCACCACGACAGACATGTACAGCACCTGCTTCACTGCAGACGCTGCACCTATCCGCCTATCGATCTCACATTCCTTTTTTCCCTCATTTGTGAACAAGACCCCAAGATACTTGAACTCCTCCACTTGGGACAGGACCTTCTCCCTGACCCGGAGAAGGCACTCTACCCTTTTCCGGCTCAAGACCATGGCCTCGGATTTGGAGGAACTGATCTTCATCCCGACCGCGTCGCACTCTGCTGCGAACCGCTCCAGCGAAAGCTGTAGATCACGATCTGATGAAGCCAATAAGACCACATCATCTGCAAAAAGCAGAGACGCAATCCTAAGGCCACCAAAACGGATCCCCTCAACACCTTGGCTGCGCCTAGAAATTCTGTCCATAAAAGTTACGAACAGAATCGGTGACAAAGGGCAACCTTGGCGGAGTCCAACTCTCACTGGGAACAACCCTGACTTACTGCCGGCGATGCGGACCAGGCTCTGACACCGGTCATACAGGGACCTAACAGCCCGTATCAAAGGGCCCGGTACCCCATACTCCCAGAGTACCCCCCACAGAGTTCCCTGAGGGACGCGGTCGAACGCCTTTTCCAAGTCCACAAAGCACATGTAGACCAGTTGGGCAAATTCCCACGCACCCTCCAGGACCCTGCTGAGAGTGTAGAGCTGGTCCAGTGTTCCACGACCAGGATGAAAACTGCACTGCTCCTCCTGAATCGAGGTTCGACTATCCGACGGACCCTCCTTTCCAGAACCCCTGAATAGACCTTACCAGGGAGGCTTAAGAGTGTGATCCCCCTGTAGTTGGAACACACTCTACGGTCCCCCTTTTTGAATAGGGGGACCACCACCCCGGTCTGCCAATCCAGGGGAACTTCCCCCGATGTCCACGCAATATTGTAGAGTCGCGTAAGCCAACACAACCCTACAACATCCAGAGCCTTAAGGAACTCTGGGCGAATCTCATCCACATTGGGGCCCTGCCACCGAGGAGCTTTTTAACCACCTTGGTGACCTCAGCACCAGAGATTGGAGGGCCCAATCCAGAGTCCCCAGGCTCCGCTTCCTCAGTAGAAGAGGTGCTGGTGGGATTGAGGAGGTCTTCAAAGTATTCTGCCCACGGACCCACGACATCTTGAGTTGAGGTCAGCAGCACACCACCCCCACTATAAACGGTGTTGGTGGTGTACCGCTTTCTTCCTCTGAGATGCCGGATGGTGGACCAGAATCGCCTCAAAGCTGTGCGGAAGTCATTCTCCATGTCCTCTCCGAACTCCTCCCATGCCCGAGTTTTTGCCTCAGCGACCATCCAAGCCGCATGTTGCTTGGACTGCCAGTACCCATCAGCTGCTTCCGGGGTCCCACAGGCCAAAAAGGCCCGATAGGACTCCTTCTTCAACCTGACAGCATCCCTCACCGCTGGTGTCCACCACCAGGTTCGAGGGTTGCCGCCACGACAGGCACCGACAACCTTGCAGCCACAGCTCCGATAAGCCGCCTCGACAATAAAGACACGGAACATGGCCCACTCGGACTCAATGTCCCCTAACTCCCCCGGAACATGTTCGAAGTTCTCCCGGAGGTGGGAATTAAAGCTCTGTCTCACAGGAGACTCTGTCAGATGTTCCCAGCAAACCCTCACAATATGTTTGGGCCTGCCAGGTCTGACTGGCATCCTCCTCCACCATCGGAGCCAACTCACTGTAGTGAACTTGACCTGATGTCAAAACTAAGCCTAAGGTCAAAACCCTTGACCTTAAGAACCTTGTGGGACAGAAACTGTCATTTCATTGATTTGAATCCAGAAATACAGGTTCACCCATCCTGAGACTTTCTTTCTTGAAAATTCAAGTGAAAGAACACTCTCTTTTCTATTATCATTACTATTTTACAAATGTTGATAATCAAAGTGTCTTAGTTCAAACCATTTTAGATGTTGCAGTGAACTAATCAATTTTATTAACTGTGAAACAGTGTAATGATTTTTTAATCCTCATGCAAAGTTAGAATTCATGTTAAGGCCTGTTACAGAGTAATCATGTATTTTCTGATTTCTGTCTTTGAATGAG